GGACTACTTGGACAACATTTTCCAGACAATGATGCTGTCATTGCAGCTGAAAGAAAGTGGCTAGCCTCTGCTGCCGCAGACTTTTACGGGCGCGGCATACAGGCTCTTGTTAATCGCTGGCAAAAGTGCATAACGAATGGTGGTGATTATGTGGAAAAATAACTGTAAGTAGCTGAAATCTTGCTCTATTTAACTGCATTATTATGCTTTCTGTATCTGTTGTAGTTTTCTTTAAAAAAATAGGAGACCTTATATACGGAACGCTGTAATATTAATAATTTAACGTTCTGGGTCATTACATAATGATGAGGGATCCTCAAATATACTGTGACATGTAGACCCGTTTGTAGGCAACGCCCGAAATACGTGCACTCAACAACAGAATTATATTGCAAGAATTCTTTTCTATTTGATCTGCTCCATTGTCATTGCTAGGCAACGGGTTGTTAAACACATTCACGCCACAACGGATACGCAGACAACAATCGGATAACGCCCGTTGCTATGCAGCGCGCTGTAAATACAACAATAGAATAAGAGATGTTTTGTAGGTGGTTTGCATATATCCATTGCTGGGCAAAGAATGTGTTTTCAATGGATCCGCCTCGAGACTATATAAGTAGTCCAGACGTAAATCAGAAGTCAGTCGTACAACGAGAACGAGAAGGGAGCGAGCCTTCGACAGCCAAGGAAGAAGGGTTCGGCTGAAGATTTATTGTGAGCGGTTGCAGTTGATTGTGATGGGGAGTTATTATACAAGAAGGAGTTAATAAATCCAATCATCTGATCCAGAACCCGTTATTATTAGTCACGAAGCCATAAACAAGTGACAATATTTTAAACACACAGCACTTACATGTTACAGTTACTTTAACAATTGTAGTGCTGGTTTACTGTATGAAATGAAGGAGTAATTCAAATCCATAGAGACAAGAGGTCACATTCATCAAACTTACCTAGAGTTGAATACGCGGGAGCGAAATGCACGGAAAATCGCAAAAGTCGATGTACACATGGCTCTGTTTTTTCTAAGAGACTTTAGATCACGCTATAAGCAAGTTACACAAATCTCGAACCCCAAATTATTTTGCCCCCGACGGAGACGCAAGCTCAATATTAATGACGACAGCCGAGTCTGCGCTCTGAGGAGCGTGCGGGACAGGTGCATGTATGATTGCTTACCGCCCAGGCGAACAAACCGAAGACACACCCACTAAAATCGAAAAGTCCCGTGCTTGTGTACCTCCCCATGTCTCAAGCTAATTCTGTCTCCATGGCAATGTAAATTTCTTGTCATCCATTAAATGAAATCCACAAGTCACGAAGCTTCTCTGATGTTTATTATCCAGTGTACAAGAGACGCAAATTAGTAGTTTATGGTATGCCATGATTTGAACATGCCGATCACAGTGGCCATGAACGGTCGTCGTTACGAGAACGTTGGAATCATGGGTTCGAATCCCATTCAAGTCATGGATATCTGCTTTCATTCTGTGTCTGTGGAGGTAGCGGCCTTATGACGGGCTCATCCCCCGCCCAAGGAGTTCGGCCGATTATCTTAAGATTAAGAAACTGAAAGCAAGCGTTTCACGGATGCCCTATGCACCAAGTTGGAGCAACAAGAAAGAGAGAGAGAGATGTCCTATTCCCTTATAATAATTTAATTTAAAGATAAAAATATAATTCTAATTTAGTATGGGCCTTATGTTATAAAACTGCAAGGGAAAAGGATTTCTGAAAACTTATACGTAAATTTAAGTATGTCACGTGACTTCCCATAAATTTATATGTCTGTTGTGCATCACAGGTTCGAGACAACTTTTCTTATTGAAGTATTTCTGCCCGCGATTTGAGGCACTAAGTCAGTGACTAAGATGATTAGTCTTTTCTGGAATGTGACACCGTCTGGTATGGCAGATGTTTACCCGACTTTTGGAGAAACGAGCTGCCTCCACTTTAGGGCAAAAGAACAATCTACACTGAAGCTGTAGACATAACGTTCCTTCGAAACATTGGTGAACGTCTACCAAGCTAGAATGCGCAACGCACCAGAACACAGTAACGTAAGTGGGCCCAAATAACGTCTATAATTAGCTTCGTGTTTGGTTTACTTTAACGAGTTTTCGTTTGCTCATATTTTGTGGCTTCTGATAATAAAAATGAATAGAAAATAACAAATTTCAAAAATTTGTGGAAATAAACGGTCGTGGCATGATTTGAGATACCATTCCAATATTTGCCATGGGAAGAATATTGCATGTAGAATTATGATGAGAAAACGAGATAGAAAGACAACACTAACAAGACCTAGTCGTCGGTGGGAGAATTATATTAAAATGGATCTTAGAGTGATGGAAGGGTGGTTCAGCATAGGGACTGGTGGAGGTATCCTGTAAACAGGGTTTGATTAGCTGAACGACTGGCAGCTTCTCAAGAAGAGCTCAGCTCCATGGAATTAGTTACCTTCCATTATTTTCCTGGTGGCACTGATGAGAACCACCAAAATCTTGTCAGGATTCTAAATGTACGGGTCGAAATTTGAATCCGAGGCTCCCAAATACGAAGCTGCAGTAGGAACAACCGAAGGCAACGGACATTCTAACCCTGCGGTCTTAACAAAATGAACCGATTCTGACGTCTGTTCACTTTCCTACTTCACTTTCTTTTGATTTGCTACTCCGATGACACGTTCTCTCAAGTAGGCTGTACGTGACAGCTGTTTGTGAATGGCATCCAAGCGGATGTCTCGCACAGCGGCATTGAGGGCGGGGTTCAAGTATATCAGTGCTATATGCTTAACACAATGAGGTGTCATTTCGGGACATAGGATGTACTGAACTGTCAAGGTCCTGAAAGCCTGTGCAACAGTCAAACGCATACGGTTTGATTGGGGATAACAGATCTCACTTGTATTCGGGGTAGCACCGTGCACTGGTTATCATAACCAATTTTAGCGGCCGGTTTCCTCTCTTCTTCCTCCAAATTTGTGAGTGTAGTGTTAATATTCTAATCTTTATTCCGCAGATCACGGTTTAAATATTAGCTACATTATTTTCTACAACTTTTCAAGAGAATGGCCTTGAAGTTACGTTCTTATCTTCTGCTTGAAAATTATCATTTTCTCAGAATTCCTAAAATTCAGAGTATCGTGTTGAACACAATATAAAATGTAGAATTTAAGCAGCATAAATAAATATCCTAAAATCATCATAGTAATACAAACGTGTACTTATGAAATTAGACAAAATAATGGAAACACTACATATACTGTACACATTTCTTTATTATTATGGCGTTGGACCAAATTTTGCCTTCATTACAGCAGCAATTCATCTTGGAATATACTTTTACTAATGAGTAGTCTCTAAGGGAATTTTACAGCATTCTTGTCGAAGAACATTTTCAAGTTCAAAAACAGACCTCAGTGGTTCAATGATGTTCAAATATGATGGTTGTGTTGGTCAGGGAAGATGCTGAAATTCATCTTCAGGCTCTACAAACCATGATTTAAGAGTTCCAGTTGTGTGGATGAGGGCGTTATATTCTTGGAGAACTGCATCGTTGTTCAGAAATATCATCTGGACATTGGGTTGCAACTGACTAACCAACTTGTCTACATACTCCCTTGCAGATACCATGAAACTGCTACCAAACTATCACAGAACCTCCCCCGTGCTTCACTGTTTGGAACCGAACCAGGCACTCCGGATTGCAGGCTTTGTTAGGTGTTCTCCAAACGTGAAATCTTCCTGATGTAGGGAACAGCGTGAAAGTCAGCTCACTTGACAATGCCACACTTTTCCAGTTGCCTGATGTCCAGGTTTTACGGTCGTAATGGGGCACCACCATTTACGCACATGAACATTACTTTCAGTAATAAGAGGATTAGAAATTTCAGCCTGTCAACGTTGATTTTCGCCCACTGTTCCTCTTCGCTGATATTGTCTTCCCATGATTCATGCATGCCAACATAACCTTAGAAACTGTCGCCCTCAGTACACCTAATAATGTGACAGTTTGTGTTGCAGATGTTCCAGTTAACGCGCACCAACAATTTGTCCTCTTTCTAAATTGGACAAGTCTCATACTTTCCGATTCCTTCACACGGGCTGTCACTCAACAAAATTACTAATGCACTTACACGAACACTACAGGATGTAAACAAATGGAAGAAGAACGTTCAGTGTTGCGAACTGATGTTCTTTCAATGTAGCCAACACAATTTTTTCTTCAGTTTCTTAGTGTTTCCAATATTTTGTCCGCCCCTATATTTGTATATATATATGTATGTGTATGTCTTTTCCTCCCACGCCTCCCTTATTCATAAATTATAATTACTTTCATACCTAACTTGACCTTGATAGTCGAGTAAATTTCGTTAAACTGCCCATAAATGAACTGAATAAATGAAATATTTCTGTGGCCAAGCGCCACATTCTAAGGACATAAAAAGGTAAAAGGTAAAGCTATCCCTGTAACAGGCCGTGAAGACCCGTAGGTTTGTGAGACGTCGAGGCTCCAACATTTTCTGGACAGTCGGCTTACAGATTGCTCACAGGTTGTCAGCCTTACGTGACGGACGCCCTTTACCCCCCAACAAGATTCCCGGTAATCATTTCTGTCAGAGGCTGAGTCGGCCATAGTGCGGCTGGAAGGATTTGGTAAGCTGGAAAAAAAATCCACCTCATTGGGACTCGGACCTACGACCTTCCGCCTTGTAGCACAGTGCCCCACTCTAAGGTTATATAGAAGAAAAATACGAAGCTCTACACATATGAACTTCGGCAATACATAAAACTGATTGGTTAGTGTGTCCCCCCAATCGTTTAGCTCACCTCGGTATCCAACGGGCAACAAATTTGTTAGGATATTTGTTCCTGCCGAGAACCGAACCCCACTTTTCATTCATTTTATTGACCGAGTTACTTAAATTCAAAAACAAATAAAACAGATATGAATTTTGGTACAAATTCAAGTTGTAAGACTCTCCTGTGACTGACCTTCTCCTGTTGCATCTGCTGCTTCATGAGGATTGCTTTCTTTTTGTCCTTGCAGCGTTTGTTCTGGAACCAGACCCTGATGACTCGAGGGCTGAGGCCCGTCATCTCGACCAGCTGTTCCTTCATGAGAGCATCCGGCCGGGGGTTGGCGTTGTAGCACGTTCGTAAGGTGTGGAGCTGCTTCTCGTTTAACACGGTGCGCACCCGCGTCGGTTTCCCGTCCGACGACACCTTCGTTGACCCGCTGACCCGACTCCCTTCCCGACCCTTGTTCGAGCCAGATTCGGAAGAATCTGCCAAGAAAGAACAGACGAGATTTAGAATTCTTCCAGAAGGGAGTACAAGACACTAAGACGTTATTATATCTGCAGTAATGCAATAATTGGTATTAAACAGACATGGAAATACATAATAATAATAATAATAATAATAATAATAATAATAATAATAACTTCCTGTACCCTGCACGAGATATCTCGTTTCAATCGTATAGTTTTTACATCGTCTTGAAGAATACTAAGTTTGAGGTCAGGGAAATAAATGCTTCTCACTTCCCAACAGAACATACTAAATTAAAATTCCTTTAAACGGCAACAGGCGGGGAATCTGTTAAGAATCATATAGACAGGCTTACAAAAATTTGAATCTATATTATGAAACAGGGCACATTGTACCTTGTGTAAAACAAAATAAAAAATACAGAAGAAAATTCTTGTATGTCTGAATTTCTCACCGAATTTTGAATACCAGGAGCATAGTGAAGGTATACTCCACTAACTCTGCAACGATGACTTCAATGACTACGTCGCTATATTAAAATGGAGCACACTTATGTCCACAAAATAGATGCAGTACATAAATGCCGTTAAAAAAGTTGAGTGCAACCTGCAGTTATTTGTTAAGCTGAGTGAAAAATCTTTCAAACAATAGCATACAACAGTAAGAGATCACATGATATCACAAAGATGTTACGAATATAATATACCGTAATTCCTACCATACAGATTGAAATCTTCTATATTCCAGGCTTATCGGTAAAACCCGAATGATTAAAATATAAAAAATGCTCCAATTTTATCTGCAATTTGTACAAATATGAAACTTGATTTTTGTCTCTATACGAAGAACGTAGACTACAGTGTTAGGGGACAATACTGGGTGCTAACAGAAACATGAGATACAATGCGTGGAGAAGAATTCATGAAGTTAAACTTCTTAGTTTGAGACTTGACCTAATATATGAGTATGAGGGGCCCTAGCACTGCAACCTTCAATGTTTTATTGTGCTTCATTGACCTAATATAAATAGCGAACCAGTCAAGCGGATTGACACAACAAGTATCAAACATGAAGAAAAATAACAGATGCATAATTTTTTGTCTGACTCATGTAAAGGGTTCATTGTGGAGACCTAGTGTAAGAAGTATAAAAAATTAAATTAATTTTACGAAGAATGAGGAGGTTCTGATTGTATACGTATAATGGGTTCAATTCTCCATGTGGTCATTGCTTTGAGCACAGTAAGGAACCTAGCATAAAGATGGTAAATTTGTTGCCCGTCTGGGCTATTATCTGGGGCACGCCGTGGCGTAGTTGGTTGAGGCACTGTGCTACAAGCCGGAAGTTCTCGAGTTCGAGTCCCGACGAGGTGGATTTGTTTCAATTTGCCTAATAATTCCAGCAGCTCTATGGCCCAGGGGTTTACTCAGCCTCAAAGAGAAATGAGTAACAGGAATTTTCATTGGAGGTAAAAGGCAGTCGGCGCGTAAGGCTGACAAGCTTACCGCTGTGAGCCGATTGTCTAGAGCAAGGGTATTCAAACTACGACCCGCGGGCCACATCCGGCCCGCGAAAGAATTGTGCAGAAATGCGCCAATTGAAGTAATTTTCCAGTCAGTACTGGTAAATGTGATTCCGAGTTTATTGACCTGACATATTATAATGCAGTTCGATGGCTTAGCTGTGGAAAGGTTCTTTCGCGCTTCTTTCAGCTCAGGAATGAAACTGATATATTTCTTACCGAGAAAAA